ATGCTTCACTGCGGCATGGTATCTCAGTGGGCTAGCACTATAAAACCAGCTTAAGTCTGGGCTAGTACAAGCAGCCGTACATACACATACACACGCATGCACGTCGTCATATGAGCGAAATATTCTCAAGCACGACGTAAAACCCAATTTCACCTCACCTCACCTTAAAAATACGATTATTGGGTTAAGATGCTGAAATCCACGATGACAAATAAGAGCATGCACATACTGCTGGTAGTATTCTGCTTAACATTGTTTCTTTCAGTTTGCCTCAAGCAAAATGTATATGTAAAACAACGACACAGACTACTTGGGAGTGTAAACAATTATTACAATAGTCCTGATGGACTTTCAATGACTTTGTATAAGTCTAGACAGACTAAACATATTAATCGACATCCCTTATGTAAATTACAAATGAAATACACAGATATATACCTCGACTAACGTTTCTACTATGACGCCTTTGTACAAATACACAAATTGCTGGCCTCAAATACACAAAATGTTAAAGACATCTTATATGTCAAATGCCACTGAAATACATACTAGATATCCGTTTCAATTATCTTTGTACAGATACACAAACCTCCAGAAATTACATAGGTATTTCCGTCGACATTTCACTCCATGCCCTTATCGTTTTAAGACAAGAAAAACTACAATCTCTTCAAAGACCCCTCACCTTTTCCTTAATTGCCTGAGGTGTCTAGACAGTTTCATTAACTTCCGACACTGAGTTGAAGCCATTAACGTGAAAGTCATCTATATTTTAAGAACAGGAGTTATCACGCTGGTCTAACGACGATGTGTTTGTGATAGTACCAACCACGGAAGTGACACCTATGTATATTTCATAAGAATGCGGAAGATACATCTACACAGCGACGTACATATAATGTACACTTCGTATGTCAAAGGATCAGTTGCCAATCGATGTATAATTACATTAACAGGGCTGTCTGGCGTGGTATAGAACACGGCAAATGTTAAAGGTAACTCAATTGCTTGTAATGCATCCCTGTGAATGTTATATATCTCACGAAAGTGTTGACGTTGATGTCTGAGGCATAACAGGGGAAACTGAGGAAGAGGTTGAAGGGGGAGCGGGGGTGGCGGTGGGGGGGTTGGGGTTTTGATTTGGTAACTGATTGTCCGTTTCGTCATTTTTCATTTTAAATTTAATCTTAACCTAGATAGCAAGGTCACTCAGTATGTAATGTGAATATACAAATGCAAGGTAGTTAAAAGGAAGTTCAGGAAACTTTGCTTCGATCGTGACCTTCCTATAAGGTCAAGGTCCTGATCAAGGTCAAGGTCGGAGGTCTATTATACAACATGACTGTAAGGACATATCAGGTTAATGTATGCAAACAGGACCAAGGCTCTGAAGCTCGCCTCCATTTACTTGTCAAACATTTATATCATGTTAAGTAAAACTGATGCAAACAAGTCCAGCAGAAATAAAAGAAATAAGTTCGTACCATCATTTACAACAAAGTGCAAATATCCCTGTGTCCAACAGAACTTAATCTTCTTGCCGTCCCTATTCCTGAATTTCCATGCTTTATCACACCCACCGTGTTAACATGTATAAAGCTTGCCTCACTTTATGTGTCAAACATCTATGTCCTGTTGAAGTAATACTGGTGCAAAAACAATCCAACAAAAAGAAGAAATGTGTTTGTAACATCATTTACAATTGATATGCTAAGGCATGACTTTAACAGAACTGAATCTTTTTGTTGTCATAACTGTTCACTTATCTTGTTTTTTCACACCCACTGTGAATGTTACGGGGAGTTCCTCTTTTGCCAGTCGGGCAAGTTGTTTATGTAAGAAGTAAGAGGATCACCAGACCATGTTAATTAGCAAGACAATGGTGGGGTTGGGTGGGTGGGAAGGGCGGAGGGTGACCAAGCCAAGAAAGACAAAAAGTGGTAAATTACTAATCACAATCATACATAATACATATGTTACTGCTCATGACATCATTCACACATTGGGGACGCCCTATATTATGCTGTGAACCTGTAAAGGTCGAATCAATGTCAGAAAGATGTTCGGACAGACTACGAACTACACATATGGAAAATTCCAAAATATTTTGAAAAAAGAAACGTTTCAGTAAATAAGATCATGAATGCAAAGTCTCAGCTTCATTGGCCTCTCGTGGCTGTGAGGTAGCCTAGTGGTTAGAGCGTTCGCTCGTGACGCCGAAAACCCAGGTTCGATTCCCCACATGGGTACAATGTATGAAGCCAATTTCTGGTGTCCCCTGCCGTGATATTGATGGAATATTGCTATAAGCGGCGTAAAACTAAACTCACTCGCTCACTGATAGGCCTTTCAGGTGAAACCCAACTCACAACAAGCCCCCGAAACCCCAAACCCCAAACCCCAGAGATGTTCCACTGGATTCAAATCAGGACGAAGAGGAGGCCAAACCATTGTCTGGATGTGGTGATTGGCCAGGAATTGTCCTGTGATAATGGCAGTGTGGGCGCGGGCATTATCGTGTTGGAACTGCAACTGTGGTCTGGGTCTAAAGAACGGGACGACAGCAGGCCTTAAGAATTCGTCAATGTAGCGTCGTGCAGTTACACCCCTTCCACGACATTGACCGTTATTTTGGAAGATTACAGGTGGTACATGCCTTCCCCAGCTTATTCCACCCTATATCATAAGGGATGGCCAACCTCAGCGGTCACTTTCCAGAACACGTGGGTCTCTGAAACGTTAATTTCGTCGACGCCATCCTCTCACTCTCCCATCTGCAACGTGGACACAAAAACGACACTCGTCTGAGAAAACAACGTTCTGCCACTGTGCATATCTCCAATGCTGATGTTGGCGAGCCCATGCTAAGCACAGACGACGGTTCCATGGCGTCAAAATAGGTCCAACATAGGGTCTCCTACAGTCTAGCCGGTGTGCTCTCAAATGTCGACGCACAGTGTTTCCTGAAATTGGTCTGTTGTGAATCCTAATTGTCTGACGGACTGTAACAGTAACTGGAAGAAAACGGTTGCGAAGATGTGACGTTACGATGTAACGGTCTTGCCTGCGTGACGTCACTCGTGGCCTGCCATCTCTAGGTCGATCTCTCACCGAATTCGTTTGATTTTGGCGTTCAACCAGTCGGTAAATTGCCGTCCGATGTACTCCCATATGTTGTGTAACGTTGACAACACTGGAACTAGCATCAATCATCCCAAGAGCACGTAGACGTGCTTCATTGCTCAGACGTGGCATATTGTTCTCTGAACCATTCAGAAAAAGAACACAACAGAAACTGCCGTCGCATCTTTTAAAAGGTTCTTTCTCTCGTTTTTCTTGAAGAAAGTGTCCTATCATTAAATTCACGTGCACAACGCGTCAGGGCATGCGTTTATGTGATGCGTTTCTGTTGTTTTTTCCCATCAAAATGTTCAATAATTAGATTCAATTGTTACGGCTAATCTGACGTTAAAAGTTTTGTTTCAGAAGTTTAATTTCGAAAATTGGTTTCAAAGAACATTTAACATGCACATTCGTTATGACTGTAAAGTAGATAAGACAATTATGGAAATTTCAAAAACAAACATGAATATCGCGTTTCTTTTGGAACTAAGTATAGTTACCCTGCGTAGCTTGATCACCAGATTAAATTGTAGCCTCATGACAATCGGAATTACATGGATGTTTAATTATATCTGCTTACTGGGCTCATCATGTTAAACCCGATTTGTGTGTTTAATGTTTGAGGCTGCACTCAGCAATATTCCAGCTGTATGATGGTGGTCGGTAAATAATCGAGTCTGGACCAGAAAATCCAGTGCTCAACAACATGAGCATCGATCTATGCAATTTGGATACCATGACATGTGTCAACCAAGTCAGCGAGCCTGTATGTATGGAACCTCAGGAATGTTTTTTTCCAAGGAAAACCCTCAACATGCTTAAGGGATATTTCATCAATAATGTCTCTGAAAATCCAGGGAAAAAGAGAATGAAGTCTTGGGGGAAAAAGGATGTTCAAAGGGTGTCCTGAACAAAGCGGTCACCAAAATTGTTGTCATTAATATGAAACAACCCCCACCCCCCCCCCGAGATAACATTCCCTCGGGGAAGCATGACCAGTGGTCATGTCAACTGAACATGCAAGATAAAACAGTAACAACCGTAAACAGCTATTACCATACTTTAATTCAATTTCTCACTTATCTTTGCTGATTTTACAATTCAACTCAAACACTGACTGAGTATGGTTTTACGCCGCTTTCAGCAATATTCCAGCAATAACACGGAGGGAACACCAGAAATGGGCTTCATACATTGTAATCATGTGGGAATCGAATCAAGTCAAACAGATTCCCCTCCTTCATCCTGCTCCACCTAACCAAAGAGCATCGCGAGAAGTTTCTTGTTTACAATCACCCTTTGGTTAATCATGACATTCCTTCACCAAACATTTTACGCTGAACCCGCAACTCTAGTTACAAACACAAGAACAGTTGTTCCATTCTGCTGGACACTCTTTCTATTGTCATCTTATTAAATTAGTATCTTGTTGATAACCTTTCTTCAGGAACATAATGCACATTCCTTTCTTCAGCTGTGTAGATGTAGTGCCTTGATTGCGTTTTCCCTACACATAAACATCAAGTTAACATGGAGATTAACAACTATTTCTGGAACCGATTTCATCCCACGTTTTCGGGATCTGATCTGTTCCAGATCTTCCAGTGTATATTTCATGTTACCATGGGTATTATGTTCAGTTCAGTAAATTCAGGTTGACTGAGTGAGTGAATTTTGTTTAAATGCTTCTTTGAACTGTACATCAGTCAGTCACCATGGTGAGCGGGCTCTATGTTTGAGTGAGTGAGTTTAGTTTTATGTCTCACTCAGCAATATTCCAGCTATATGGCGACGGTCTGTACATAATCCGGTCTGGACCAGAAAATCAAGTGATCAACAGCATGAGCATCGATCTAAACAGGATACGATGACATGTGTCAACCAAGTCGGCGAGCCTGACCACCCAATCCTGTTAGTCATCTCTTACGACAAGCATGTGTTGCTGAAGATCAATTCTACCCCCGGATCTGCACGGGTCCCATGTTTGAGGAAAGGCCAGATTGATGCAGGTCTTTGATGATCATCTGCTGGACCACACCAAATTATGCCACATGAATTATGCTGCTTTGCAAAGTATTTCAGTTAAACTTGTAGTCGAAAGAAAACTGAAATGGTGCAATTTTAGACACTGACAGAGATGCCAACCCCAAACGTGTTGCAAATAGTATTTAATCGACAAAAATTGATCAATTTGAAATAAAATCTGTGGAAATCCGCTGATCAGCGGAAAATTGCCATCTCTGCAATTTCTAGTGCAATCGTAGTTTGAGGCTAAAATTCATAGCGACTACAATAACATTTCTAAAGGTTGGCATCTCTGCAATGAGGATAAGTTCCTGGCATGTCAAAGGGACATTACTCTGCACAGCAAATTTTGCCACCTGGGCCACCTATCCTTACATGTTGAAATAAAGAATGAACTACAAATTTCATAAGTCTGCACAACAAACATTTCAAAATGACACTAGAAGATATTGTTCCTTCTAAATTGAATACTACTCTTAGTCAAATGCCCTTCAATTTCAAGAATGCATCCCAGATCCCTCTTGTCAAACTTCAGCAATGTCAATAACATATCACCACCTTCAGTCAACATTAAATAGATGTTGGTACAGTTATGGTTTAGGCACTCCCAATCACACATACACAAGTTTCATTCTCAGATTGGACACAAACATTAAGCCACAACTTGGAGTCCACTGCTGAATATTGCTGAAAAACTCACTCACTCAATTACTTAGAGTCAATACATATCACAGTTAAGCCTTTGCCATGTCCTTTGAAGCTTCAAAAGAAATCCTGAGCCTTTGGTCTCTTGGGCAATTGTAAAAGATTGTCCGTGAGAGATGATATATCACTTCCATCACGCTTAGGCGTCCTTCGGTCACTACCAGGTGTCCTTGACCCTGTACTTGGTGTATTTGACCTTGACTTTGGTGTACCACTTGGGGTCAAACTTAAAGGTGTCCTGTCCCCTGACTGCCGTGTGGGGGATGGGCTGTAACTGGCCCGAAGAGCTTTATCAGCATGTGTTTTGATCCCCAGCTTTTTGCTGACTAAGAGTTGAGCTGCAGGAGACATGGAATTCACACGATCTGTTGTGCTCATCGCAAACTTTGGAGATGGGCTGAAAATACAAATGAAAAGTATGAAATTACATGTAACTGAAATATATGTCATGGTGGCACAGGGGCGGTGGGGTCGCCTAGTGGATAAAAAGTTCACTTGCCACGCCGAAGACCGGGTTCGATTCCCCACATGGGAACAATGTGTGGAGCCCATTTGTGGTGTCCCCCACCGTGATATAGCTGAAATATTGCTAAGTGGTGTCAAACCACACTCACGCCACTCATGGTGACACAATGTGGAAATTTCCCCGCATAAAACATCAGACATATTATATTTCACTTTCCTGGAAAACAAAATTATTTTACGTGTTAGCAAGCACAATAAGGTATCACATAGAAAAGCACTAAATAATGCATGATTACCCTTGCAACTGATCAGGGTGTAGTCATATGTCTCTCCAGCTACATGGGGCATACCAACCACATTGCATGCTATAAACTTGAAGGTCTGAGTTCATATTACTATCTCATTCCACTGGTAACCAATCATTGTTGAGAAAACTGGTGCACATGTCCTTGGATTCACGTTTTACCATGTTTTTACCAACTCAACGAAGAGAACTGCGAGAGACACAGATCTTGCAAAAACCTACACATAATCTGTTTTACAATCCATGCCCATTTGACAGTTAGGCCTATTTGTGTTGACACTTTGGATGATAAATTGTTTCAGAAATACTATATCACGAAAGGAAGTACTTTAAAGTTTGCCACAACCAATGTCTTAGTGACACAGCATGACCAAGTGACAGTGAAAGGTTACGTGTTATCTTGTTACTTGACATTCATGAAGAAACTTATCTCTGTTTGCTTGTACATAAAGATACGTTTCCATATATTTTTAACATTCTTCATTAAATTCGTAGCAAATTAAAAGGAATGACATTTAACTTCAACCCGTTCAAACAGGGTTCACTTTGAATAGGTAATCTGAATGTATGCCTACATGTCTGCCAACTTCAATCATTAATCCTTGCTTGAATATCAGAATTGAGTGAGTGAGTTTAGTTTTATACCGCACTCAGCAATATTCCAATTATATGGTGGCAGTCTGTAAATAATCGAGTCTGATCCAGAAATCCAGTGATCAACAGCATGAGCATAGATCTACACAATTGGGATACGATGACATGTGTCAACAAAATCAGCGAATCTGACCACCCAATCCTGTTAGTCGCCTCTTATGACAAGCATGGGTTACTGAAAATCAATTGTAACCTGGATCAAAGGTTAACAGAACAGAACACAGATATTCCAAAATTTTATTCCAAAATTTAAGATTTGTATACTGGAAGCTTACAATATTCGTATTTGTAGGAGGAATTGAGACTGTATTTTCCCTTTTGAAACTACTCATGTGAAAGAGCCTTATATTCTTGGTTGCAGTATGACGACCATGACCACAAACTCCAGGTCACATACAAATACACTATATGCCTGGAGAACTAGCCCTTATTTGGCACATTAGACCCTGATTTGCACACTCAACCCACTCTGAACAACAGCTACTAATTGGCACATCAGACCCTAATTATCAGACCTTGGAAATCAAACCCTGGTTTTGCACAATATCAGATCCAGTTTGCACACCAACCCTTCTGGTACATCAGTGACTTGTTTCAGTACATCACACCCAATTTGCATATCAGACTGTATTTGGTTGATAGGATCATGGTTATGCACCCTGTACCCACTTTGCACGGCAAACCATATTTTGCACAGAAGACCCCTAATAATGTCCAGTCTAGTAAAGATATGTCAGTCCCCTATTTGGCACATCAGCACAATAATTGTTATATCACACCCAGTAAAGATTTGTCAGTCCCCTATTTGGCACATCAGCACAATAATTGTTACAGTCGTCTCTTATGACAAGCATGGGTTACTGAAAATCAATTGTAACCTGGATCAAAGGTTTACAGAACTGATCAAAGGTTAACAGAACTGAACACATATTCCAAAATTTTATTCCAAACTTCAAGATTTGTATACTGGAAGCTTACAATATTCGTATTTGTAGGAGGAATTGAGACTGTATTTTCCCTTTTGAAACTACACATGTGAAAGAGCCTTATATTCTTGGTTGCTGTATGACGACCATGACCACAAACTCCAGGTCACATACAAATACACTATATGCCTGGAGAACAGTAGCCCTTATTTGGCACATTAGGCCCTGATTTGCACACTCAACCCACTCTGAACAACAGCTACTAATTGGCACATCAGACCCTAATTATCAGACCTTGGAAATCAAACCCTGGTTTTGCACAATATCAGATCCAGTTTGCACACCAACCCTTCTGGTACATCAGTGACTTGTTTCGGTACATCACACCCAATTTGCATATCAGACTGTATTTGGTTGATAGGATCATGGTTATGTACCCTGAACCCACTTTGCGTGGCAAACCATATTTTGCACAGAAGACCCCTAATAATGTCAATTCTAGTAAAGATATGTCAGTCCCCTATTTGGCACATCAGCACAATAATTGGTATACATGTATCACACCCAGTAAAGATACGTCAGTCCCCTTTTGGGCACATCAGCACAATAATTGTTATGTCGCACACAGTAAAGATACGTCAGTCCCCTATTTGGCACAGCAGTATTATAATTGTATTATCACACCTAGTAAAGATATGTCAGTCCCCTATTTGGCACATAGCACAATAATTGTTATATCACACCCAGTAAATATATGTCAGTCCCCCATCTGGCACATCAGCACAATAATTGTTATATCACACCCAGTAAAGATGTCAGTCCCTTATTTGGTACTTCAGGACAATAATTGTTATATCACACCCAGCAAAGATATGTCAGTCCCCTATTTGGCACATCAGCATAATAATTGTTATATCACACCCAGTAAAGATTTGTCAGTCCCCTATTTGGCACATCAGCACAATAATTGTTATGTCACACCCAGTAAATATATGTCAGTCCCGTATTTGGCACATAAGCACAATAATTGTTATATCACACCCAGTAAAGATATGTCAGTCCCCTATTTGGCACATCAGCACAATAATTGTTATATCACACCCAGTAAAGATATGTTAGTCCCCTTATTTGGCACATAAGCACAATAATTGTTATATCACACCCAGTAAAGATACGTCAGTCCCCTATTTGGCACATCAGCATAATAATTGTTATATCACACCCAGTAAAGATACGTCAGTCCCCTATTTGGCACATCAGCACAATAATTGTTATATCACACCCAGTAAAGATACGTCAGTCCCCTATTTGGCACATCAGCACAATAATTGTTATATCACACCCAGTAAAGAAACGTCAGTCCCCTATTTGGCACATCAGTATAATAATTGTTATATCACACCCAGTAAAGATATCAGTCCCTTATTTGGCACATCAGCACAATAATTGTTATATCACACCCAGTAAAGATATGTTAGTCCCCTATTTGGCACATCAGCACAATAATTGTTATATCACACCCAGTAAAGATATGTTAGTCCCCTATTTGGCACATCAACACAATAATTGTTATATCACACCCAGTAAAGATATGTTAGTCCCCTATTTGGCACATCAACACAATAATTGTTATATCACACCAGTAAAGATGTTAGTCCCCTATTTGGCACATAAGCATAATAATTGTTATATCACACCCAGTAAAGATATGTCAGTCCCCTATTTGGCACATCAGCACAATAATTGTTATATCACACCCAGTAAAGATATGTTAGTCCCCCATTTGGCACATCAACACAATAATTGTTATATCACACCCAGTAAAGATATGTTAGTCCCCTATTTGGCACATCAACACAATAATTGTTATATCACACCAGTAAAGATGTTAGTCCCCTATTTGGCACATAAGCACAATAATTGTTATATCACACCCAGTAAAGATATGTCAGTCCCCTATTTGGCACATCAGCACAATAATTGTTATATCACACCCAGTAAAGATACGTCAGTCCCCCATCTGGCACATCAGCACAATAATTGTTATATCACACCCAGTGAAGATATGTCAGTCTCCTATCTGGCGCATCTGCCTCCTAATTGTTACATAATGTCCAGTAAACAGATATTCACGAAATTGTCCTAGTTGTTACAAATGTTAATCATAAGTGCAATTTCAGAAATCTATCACAATGCGCTTACAAGTTACATTGACAACATGATTCTTAGCTAAGATAGTGACCTCTTTTGAGACTTGATGTGCTGGGAATAAATCCACAAGTCATTTATTATTCATGGGATTCCATTCATTTAAATTCTGTATGCATTTAAATATATACATATAAACTTTTATTACAGAATTTCTAGTTTATTTTATCCTGTAAAAAAAAATTCACAGCATTATGGCACAATACAAATCCTTCTCAATCATGTTTCAATCATCTTCTGGTAGAGCATTGTAGAGTGAGTGAGTGAGTTTAGTTTTACTTGTCGCACTCAACAATATTCCAGCTATATGGCGGCGGTCTGTAAATAATCGAGTTTGGACCAGGCAATCCAGTGATCAACAGCATGAGCATTGATAAATGCAAGTGGGATACGATGGATTGATTAAACACTGTCAAAACTGCCTGTAAATAAAATACAAATACTAAGTAGTTGGTAAGGTTGCAATCAGTTCAGGGATGAATATTTTGCATTTTTCTTTGAGAGCAATTTTTTGAAGTTGTAAACATGAAGGATAGTCTATCCATAGAACTTGGTTTTCCTTTAATTTTCCTCTTATTCAGTGTAAAAATACACCAGCAACTTCCTACATCATGCGCAAAATAATTTGCAAACAAAGCTAAGATGACAGAAGTCCAATGTTGGCTTATGTAGTATAGCATATCATCCAGGGATCGAAACAGTCCTCAATTTTCAGGCAAACTTAAATTACAGCAGTAATACAGACCATGAATTGTTTAATGGAAAATGCAATGAATTTGACCAACTCAAATGATTTCAAACCTATTTTCACCCAATCAGTCTGTTTATCGGTGTCACTCTCGATATATAAAAAGAAAAGTCAGTCGCCAAACCACAGGCTGAGCAGGTTAGGTGGCTGAGTTTGTGAGCTGGTGATTAGGTGCCTGATTCTGAATGTGTGGGTTCAAATCCCGGATGGGACTCAACCCAAAAAAAGCACTAGAATCTGTACTTTACTAAGAAAGTGTAATCCCCAATGTAACATATGTTTCTTAAGTAATTGCTGCTGTTACATATAGTCAAGCATTGTCAGGCTGAAACAATAGCAATGATATTGTTCATAGTAAGAAAATGTGTGGTCTCAGCATCTTAGCTTTTTTTTAGTTAAGCACATGAGTATGCCATATGGAGTGCGCATTTTTCCACCATGTTGTCATATTGTTTTCTCGTTGAACTTTCTAATCTGTTATTTCCCTCAGTCAGTCAGTGGGACTTGGAGTGAGTGAGTGAGTGAGCTAAGCTTTATGCTGCTTTTCGCAAATGTTCCAGCAATATCACGGCAGGAGACACTAGAAATGGGCTTCACACATTGTACCCATTTGGGGAATCGAGTGGGACTTGGATACTTTGGGTCGACCAAACTGTACATGCTATATTATGATTCCGTTCATTTATATGATGAGGTTGTGTCATGCCATTGGACAAAAAGGGTAAGTTCCCTCTGTGGCTCTGTCTCTGTCACACATCACTGATGTCATATGTCACAGAGGGAAATTGAGTAGAGGCCACGGGCCACAGAGGTACAGGTCACCAGTTTCAATTAACGAGGTGTGAATGGCTCAAGTTAATTAGTGCTTAATTAACTAGGTGTTAACGGGGGTATAATAAATTCATTGTTAAATCGCTACTGACGGTATTGTGGTAATCTCTTCTGCTTGCCTGCCAATCGCTACTGATCATATCAAGTTACAAGGTGATTGGCGCACGTCAAAGACTGGTGATGACTTTATCCTATGTGATGATGTTTCTGGCGACAGTCGCATCATTGTGTTTAAAACTGTAGAAAACCTCAAGAAACTATGTAGCGGTTCAACTGTTTTACCCAAGACTGTTTTACCAGCTGTATATAATCCACTCACACATGCCTCATGGATCTATACCTGAACTATTCTGTATGCTCCCTGACAAGAAAGGTTCCACCTACCACAGACATATCCAGCTTCTTCAGACGAAATGTGAGACTTTTGGACTTACATTCTCACCTGGAGTTGGGATTTCTAATGACTTTCGTAACAACCTCTCATATAATGACATGAATCTGCCAATCAAGGTCAATCAAATACCATGTTAATGACCTAACACCTTATCAGTCATGGCCTACAGTACACAAGTGCCACTCAGGGTCACACAAAACGACCATATGCCACAGCGGGAAATTTCATCTAGATCAATTAAAATCTCATAGGCCACAGAGAGAAGTGTCACAGAGGTACTAAACCGACAAAAACATGATTATAAGTCCATTCTACTGAGCATGCGTAAGATTTGATACCAACCAAGGGAGGTGATTTAAAATTCAGTCTATTTTGACCCCTGGAAAAGTGAATTCTGAGAAGTTGATGAAAAAAACAATCACAAAAAAACATTTCACATTAGCAAAAACTGTGACAAAACTTCCCTTTGACAACATCCAAAAAACTATTTAAACCATAATCACTGCCCTCCATCAACAATCCAAGGGAAATAACTCTTGTGAATTATCTCCCCTTTAAAAGTGCCTTATCTGCAACTTATCAAATCAAGTGATAGATGACATATGCAGTTGCACACAATGCTAGTTCAACTACTGTATTCATCAAATTATTATGTTATTTTAGAGCAGATATTGCCAACATCTGACCTGGAAACAAAACGTATATCACTGTGAATAAAACGTACCTTGCTAGATTTCTGGTAACCTGCTTGATTGCATTCTGTTTCTTGTCACGATGAACCTTGCTTGCCTTTTCCGCCAGTTCTAATGCCAGTTGATCCCTCTTAGGCACTGCTGGAATCTGTTGAAAGACATTTTCAAAATCATGAACAACATTTTGTGTAGTTTGTTAGTTGTTTTAAGCTGAACTCAGCAATATTTCAGCCATTTGGCAGCAGTTGTAAATAATCGAGTTTGGACCAGACATTCTAGTGATCAACATCAAGAGCATCGATCTATGCAACTGGTATACTATGACATGTGTCAACCAAGTCAGAGAGCCCGACCACATGATCCTGTTAGTCACCTCTTACAAAACAATGGGTTGCTGAAGAACAATTCTGACTCACTCAATTCCTCACAGATTTGTTATAAAGTGACATCTGATTGTTTGACAAACCAACACATTCATCATTAAAACTGGAATGTCAAAGTTGATCATGCTTTACAGCTGTTATAAGATCTTTTCAAAGAGAGGTACCACAGAGATGCCAACCCCAAATCGGTGCAATTAGGACTCTGAGCTCCCTAAAATAAAAAAACAAGAGTCATCAGAAGATGACATATCCCCTGGCCCCCACATCTTTGAAAGAACAAATCATCTGACAGTTACTTAAAGTCCAGCTTTATTCTAGACTAAGTGCAAATCGTTCCATGGAAATCACGGAAAAAATAAATGACAAATATCTGCAAATAGCAAAAGGCACCACTTCAAGATCTGCCTCACATATCTGCCAAGTTTTGCTGAAAAATATTAAGAAGTTTTTGAGTTGTGCTCCGGAAACGAAACCCATCCCTCCTTTTGGGACTAAGTCCGAATCGTTTCCATGGAAACCGGGAAAAATAAAAATGCCAAAAATCTGCAAATAGCAAAAGGCACCACTTAAGGTTCTGTTTGATATATCTACCAAGTTTTGTTGAAAAATATTGAACGGTTCTTGAGTTATACTCCGGAAAAGAAGCCCACCCCTCCCTTTTGGGATTAAGTCCGAATCGTTTCCATGAAATTTCCCAACAAATTAGGGATCTCTATAAGTTTGTTACACTCAAGGAACAAAACTTTTCAATGCCATTACACATAGCGATCCTTATACCACTTAAACCGGTTTGCCGTACTCAGCAGCAGTGTTTGTGAATGTTAAGTGAATGAAATAAACAGTGCAGGGAATTTATCAGGCAGCCTACAACTTCCGGATTACTTTCTATTTTAAATAATTTGAAAACTTCTGTAAATAAAGTGTTATATTTATTCAATTATCATTATCTATAGTCAAAGATGATCCTAGCCCTCCAGTAAGACTATCTATATCTTTGTTATATTTTGAAAAAAATCGGAATGAATTTGGCTTTGTCGGAATGACGGAATCAACATGCATTTTCCGAGATGATTCTGATAAATTCGGGAGGGTTGGTATCTCTGTTACCATATGAGGAAACCTGACCTAATTTCAACATGATTGATAACTGGGTCACCATGTCACAAGAAACGTAGTCTCAAATCCTTCTTCCTGTCAACCTACCTTAAACACTGGCCCGGGGGTAGAGGGGAGCGGGGTCCCTCCCCCGTCAAGTCTGAAGGGAGTACTCTCAATCTCTCCCCACGTCATCATAGGCGAGTCATCAACTCCTGGTGCTGGTGACGGGGTCGCCATAAACCCATAACCATTCACATTTGGCGACATAGAAGGTAAGATTTCCTTTCCGTCATGTCCGATTTTCCCCAGATTTGCCAGTGCCTTGAATGATGCTGCCTCCTGCATCTGTTGCTTGCTCTTCACAATGTTGTGTGGGTTGAACTGGAAGCGGGTGTTTTCATGAATTATCTCCCTTGGTTTATGCTTCTGCAGTTCAATTAGTTCCTTGGCACTCAATGATTCCCCTGAAACAAAAAGAAATGAGGCTGCAAATTGTCAGGCCTTCAACATTAATTTGGAATTCATGATTACAGACATCATATATATTAGTAATATGCTTCATATATTTCATTTGTTCATAAGCTTTTGACTATATTTCTGCAGCACTTTGGAAAAACATACAAGTGGTGAATGGTATTGACCATCATAAAAATATAATCGATGTGGACTGGGATTCGAACCACCAATACAGGTTTGTGGTACACAAGGGCCACAACTCTGTGAATTGTTGTGTCTGAGATGACTGGGCCATCAATGTCCTCTATCAACCCAAGCTTACAACAGATCACTAAACAAAATCTGATTCCATGACATCATAACAATCCTGGAGTAAAAGATAATGTAATCAAGCAATCATATTGCATCCTAAGTAGATATAAACAAATATGGCTGAACTTACCATCAGGAACATACATGAGAGCATTCTGGGGCTTATACTTCCAGGTGTCCACTTTCCCAGTACCAGGTTCTATCATAGCCTGCTCCTCAATGCTGGGCAGTGCTAGCTTCTGCTCGTGTTCCTGTAATCATAAACTGTAATAATCATTTGTTCACTACATGAACTCTTAATGTGTTCTGTGTATATCAGTATAAGTTAGTCTGCCTCTGGTTATTTAGAATTAAGGCCACACCAATTTTATTTCTTGTTTTACGGATCCGCATGTCGTATTTTTTCAAGAACAAGAAAACAACCATAAAACTTAATTTTCTCCGCTCAAAAAAAAAATATCCTAATGTTTTTTATTGGCCAAAAATGTAAACTTACAAAAAAAAAATTAAATTGATTTTTGCCCCATATACACCACATTCCCTCGTGTCTTTGCGAGGATTAAAGATTTTTAAAAAATATATAAAAATTTGAGATGACCCCCCGACTCGAATGCTTCATAGTACAATACATTATGACAAGGCCGGACACTTCGATGCACCCCACCCGCCTGCTTTGCCGATCGCTATGCTACCATCGCATGCAATCGGTTAAAACTTGATGTAAACATAATCATGGCTAATTAGCTTATCAAGTACCACTCATGACACCTACCAATTCTTTATTGTTATTTCTGCAAGTCGATTGAAACCCAATTTTGACTCTCAACTAAAAGATCTTGACACAAATGGATGAGGATATATCCGCGCAAAACGGGGGTGTGGTGGAAACAAGCCCTCTGGCAATTTATGAAGTGTATATCACAGGCCCTCGTGTATTTGCGAGGATTAACGATTAATAAAATATTGTTTTTGAGATGAGATACTTTTTGTATTTAAAAGGAACATTACTTTGACTGGTGATTTACTAAATATTTTTTTCCCTCCTTCCTTTAGGTTTTCCGTAATCCTTAAGGTTTCAAAAAAATCTGTAAAACAAGACATAACTGACTGACTGAGTTTGGTTTTACGCCGCTTTTAGCAATATTCCAGCAACATCAAGGCGAGGACACCAGAAATGGGCTTCACACATTGTGCCCATATGGGGATTCGAACCCGGGTCTTCGGCGTGACGAGCCAGCGCTTTAACCATTAGGCTACCCCACCGCCCCTAAAACAAGACATAAACTTGGTCTGGCCTAAAGTAAGCATATCAAAACATTCACCATTTCCTGTTTCTCCTCCTTGTCATACATCCAGGCATGTTTCTCTCTGTGTTTACGTTCGCCTTCTTTAAGAATTTCCACAAATGATGCATTGTCTTCACTGGTGTTCCTGGCCAGGTATCGATCAAGGCTTAATTCTTTCTTCTTTTCTGGAAATAGAAATGGAAAACCATCCATGAACATGTTAACAATGTACAGAGGAAACCTGAGTCCCAAGATGTCCAGATACAGTGGAAGCTGTCAAAACCGGCAGCTGTCCAATCCGGCAAGTTGTCAACACCGGCATAAAATCTCAGTCCCATTCGTGGCTAGTACATTTTTCTTCATTTAAGAGCTCTGCAATCAGGCAGCTGTCAATTCCGGATCTCGGCATGAAATGAGCCGCCCGAATATGTGTTTATACAGTAATCAGCGCTATCTAATCCGGTGTGTGACGAGGAGTCGGAGGGATATGTATTGTCACTAATTAATCCTGTGTTGAAACTACATGGTTGCCGACAAAGATAATTTAATCTTAGTTCAGTATGGGTGTACTTGTACATGTAAATAGCGTGTTGAGAGAGAAATTGAGAGAACCACATGATACAACAATGTATATGAGAGTGACAAAACTGGTTCAGTTCTAGTCGGAGGTAACCGTGTCAGCTCTACAATCCGGCACGCTGTCTAAACCGGATTATTTCTTCAGTCCCAGTGTGTGCCGGTTTAGACAGCTTCCTGAGTCTGTATTGCCAATATTTCATTGTGTAACATTGTGTTGTGCTGCAAATACTAGTATGTAGGTATAGCAGTGTATGAAATGAGGCCCGTCCAACCGCCCAAGACGGTCTAGATTTCTACATTTACAGCTAGCCAGCCCGATGGTCTGGTAATTTTTTTTAGATGTTCCATACATCTGAGTAAATTCACCATATTTGGTCTGGTTAAATCCTGATGTCTTGCTGGATTTTTGGTTTATTTCATACACAGGGTACAGACAAGCTTTGGTTGGTTGGTTGGTGTTTAATGCTGCAATCAGCAACATTCAAGCTATATGGCGGCGTTCTGTACCCAACAATCTAGTGATCAACAGCAATAGCGTCTATCTTCGAAAATGGGATATGATGACATGTATCAACCAAGTCAGCAAGCCTGACCATCTGATACCATTTGTCACCTCTTACGACAAGCATGAGGTACTGAAGACCAATGCTAGCCCAAATCTTCACGGGTAAATAATGTTACAAGTAATATTGATACCGGCATGTAGATATAAACAGGCAATAGATGGCGGTTATGAACTGAATGAGATTGGTCTCAGGTCTGTATCATATTTTGACAGTTATCATGGTGATATATGTAATATTGTTTCATGCCTCCCCCCTTCCCCAAATATGTCACGGTTTCATATGAACTCCCTTCACTCCCCATAATCATAATAATAATGACAAGTCTGTAAATAATGTTCAAATTTATAACCCTCATTTTTCAAAGATCAGAACTAAGTTATTAACATGGTGAAGTCGTATTTTCATTCCCATTCCAATATAATTGAGATATATGTTCATGACCCCTCTACCCCAGCCATGCCACCCCCACCCCACCTACCCTTACACACACTCTAATCCCAGCTCCACTCCCATATAAGAAATGACATCATAATCATGATTATAATCATGATTAAAAACATGATTAACACCCAAAACATACCAGTGAGTGAGTGAGTATGGTTTTACACTACTTTTAGATATATTCAATCACAAATACCAGAAATGGGCTTCACACACTGTACCCAGGTCAGAAATTAAACCTGTGTGTTCAGGATGAGGAGAAAATGCTTAATCCTCTCGGCACCACAATTACCCCTTAAACATAAGAACATGTTTCAAATTCATCCCTGAAAGTCGTGTTAAGTATAGAAGATATTACCAACACGAAAAGCCTTTTAAAAAGGCACCAGAGTAAGTTAAGAAATTTAGTGACGGACGTGAGATGATTTGGGGGGTGAGAAGCTGATTTCAAGAGCATCACGACGACCATACCTCCATCTATTAGAGAGTTGTTTCCATTAGAGATCGGTACTCGCATCGCAAATACGGTACTCTCATCTCCAGTATATGACGTTTCATATCAAAAGACATTGTCATGTCTACCCATGTCTTAGCTAAGATACATAGCGCTCACATACACGAACGCTATGAATCACCTCTATAGGCCGAAATGGAGGAAATCCTTTGTCACACATGTGAGCGCAATGTAACTCATGTATGTGAGCACTACGTATCTAAGGAAACCTAATGGGTGCTACTAAAATGGAATGGATTTTCCAATTCTGCAATTCAAAATTATGCACTGAACCAGTACAAGTGTGCTCTATTATGCGTAAATTTGTTTTGATTTGAATGTTTCTCAGTTTGTTAACATTTTGATCAGTAAAAACACAGAATGTATTTAAATTAGAGATTTATGCGATTCCCGCATTAAAGCGGAACAATTATTTTGGATTACCCACATGATCACGTGGCTCATAATTTGTGCAGTTATGTTCAATGGTCATTTGGAATTGACAAACTACTACTATTTAACAACAAAGCGACTAAGTATCATTGGCTGAAAGTTATTTTGAATATGCCAAGCGGCTATATAGAGAGAAATTTCACCTGAGAGAGAATTCCTCCAGATAATATGGTTGCAAGCATTTGCACCTCTAACCAAGAACGTAACCAATAAGCATAATTAAGAGAGTGTTGTTTCTCTAAAGAGCTCTTGCCATAATAAAGATAGAACAGGTGTGGGTGTGCTTGGGTTTCAGTATACTGTGCCATAGGTGGGCAGTATTAACATCAAACAGGCATTAGTCCAAGTTGGTATAATGACAAGGGTTGAAACGATAAATCAAACTATCGACGGATTGCAATTGTTGAGTCTTCGATAGCAATTAATTGATGGTAGAAAGGAAAAACTATCCCCTCAATAGTCACCCCTAATAATGACTATCACTGAATCAAGGCAGAGTTTAGGTTTACACCTTTATTCCACGTGTTGACAGCATAGTCATAGACAAAAACTCTCTGGTCATGTTGCGAGCATTATAATATACTCCAGCACATCACGTCCAACTCCCACTCAGTCATCCAATCACACCCGCCTCCACTCGGCGCATGTGCATAGGCTGCTTACCAGACGTCGGTAAGATAACCATTCATACAACATCACTCCCTAACGTGCATGCAAGGTGCTATACGATGACAATAACATTTAATGCAACGTTTAACAGCAACTCACTACACCTCACCAATCACTGATCTGCTTAAAAACATAAACAGCTAACGAGTCATACAAGAACATGTGTGTTCTGTCAATATATAAATCTGGATTAGAGCCGAACAATACCATTGTAAGGTCATTGAGGTCATGGGTTTCACAGTACGAGAGGCACGGATGGCCCAGTTGTCAAAAGTGATGCAATTCACTGTGCAGAGTGTGTCCCTCGGGCACACCAGCATTTGAGTTTGAATCTGGATTCGACCCGATTATGTTTCAACGTTTGTCAAAGCTAAAAGTTTGATGTTGACATTGACAATTGGATATCTTTAATGAATTGCTACTGTTAAATACAAAACACGCCACATAGTATTGTCCAGTAAAACACTCATTATAGGATGAGAAATTGAATTTGGTTTAATATTGCTTTAAACAGTATTCTGGTTGATAACACATGTCAGGTTCCAAGCAGAAAAGGTTATGCTGGTCTCATTAACTACTTTAGCGAATCCTTCCATCACAGGTGTGGATATGTATAATTGTGCTCAGCATTAAGGGATATAATAATGACTTGTCAGCTCATACAGTTTTATGAGGTCATGATTGATGGATGAAATAACCAACACTGTAAGTGTTCTTATCAGCTGTGGAGTGTTCACTCGTCACGTCGAAAAACTTGGTTTCGATTCCCCACATTATTTACAGACCGTCGCCATATAGCTGGAATATTGCTAAATGCGGCGTAAAACTAAACTCATTCACTCACTAATACTCCAGTGCATTTTGGCAAACCCAAGCACTGCCAGAACTTACCCTTTTTCAGACATTTCCTTAAATTGATAGGGACCCAAAGTTCTACAAGAAATAATTCTGATTTGTGAGGACGGTGGGGTAGCGTAATGGTTAAAGCGTTTGCTCGTCACGCTGAAGACCCCGGTTCGATTCCCCACATGGGTACAATGTGTGAAGCCCATTTCTGGTGTCCCCGCCATGATTTTGCTGGAATATTGCTAGAAAGTGGCATAAAACCATCCTCACTCACTCACTCATATCAGCTGTAGGCACAATGGATGTTACTGTACCTCTATCATGATGCAGTATTTGTTTTTTCTGCATCCATTATCTACATTTGTGGGTATTGGGCACAAATTCCTGTGTTACATAAAACCATGGACTGTTAAAACCAACTGCAGACACACGTCCATCCTCATCACCACCCAGGGTAACACCTACCATTGTCAGCATCATTCTGCAACTCTGGCTGCTCATCAGTGCCAAGGTCAGCGGGCTGCTTCTGAGATGGGGAGGGAGCCCTGGTAGAGGCATCAGGTGTCTCAAACGTATCTGGGGAGTTGTCTGGAGAAAGAAACTAAATCAGTTGAAATAACAATATAACATCATAAAAATTTCATTTACTGACAGTATGAGAAATCATTGAGTCACTGACCACGATCATATTGACCATCCGATTCTTGTTTTCTGAATTTCCTTCAGATTTAAAAAAAATATGTTCTGCTCTTAACATGCTGAGTCTACTCACTGATGAGCTCAAACAAATATATTTGCAGCATTTCTATACGTGTTAATAGCTTTTAATGCTAAGTGAGCGAATGAGTTTAGTTTTATGTCGCACTCAGCAATATTCTAGCTATATGGCGGCGGTCTGTAAATAAATGAGTCTGGACCAGACAATCCAGTGATCAACAACATGAGCATCGATCTGCGCAATTGGGAGCCGATGACGTGTGTCAACCAAGTCAGCGAGTCTGACCACCCGATCCCGTTAGTCGCCTCTTACGACAAGCATGGGTTACTGAAGATCAATATTGTAACCCGAACCTTCACGGGTTTTTAAAGCTGAAACATGGGACATTATTGACAGCAATTACACAAAAAGAGTTTACTTGACCATGGCTTCTGAGAATTGGATCAAAACTTGACAAACAAGATTAACCTTGACAAACATGATCAAAGTTGCCAAATATGACCAAACTGAAAATAACTCCTACGAAAAGTCATGACGTTCTGAAAGTCATTGTCTGTGCACCATTGACATGTTGCTATAGGGATTGGCAACAAATGAAGTTGACAGACATTTTACATGTCCACTCTTGACTTTCCACAGGCTGGTCAACCATGTGTGACATCACGCAAATCTAGCAACCATATTAAAATTGTGCACCTACAGAATTAATACCAAATTGATACAGTAACAGCTTGAAAACCTTTTGGGTTAAGACACAACCAATCAAGGAACATTTGGCCCAAACATGCAATTTTGCTTCCATCTCAACAAAAGGCACACCTAGTATACACAGCATCTGAGCCTGAAGAGTAAAAACTGGAACAAAAAATACAGGGCAACTAATATGAAGTTTCCACTCGTCCTTCTAAAATTGTACTTGCCCTATAGATCATGCATCACAATGAATATAAATTATTTTATTTCAAAATGTTTGCTTGGAATAATAAACATTACTAACTTTAGCTTCTGTACAAACTTTGACAAAATTGAATTCGTTCACCATTTACGATAGTTGAACTTCAAAAAATGTCGTACTTAAGAATATTTCGCTCATATATGATGACGTGCATGCGTGTGCTAGCTCAGGTGCATGCATGTGCATGTGTGCATGCTGTGTGTACTAGCCCAGACTTAAGCTGGTTCTATAGTGCCAGCTCACCGATATACCATGCCACATTGAAGCATGAATACCCCACTCAGACACGTCATACTGTCTCTGAGCCGACCAGTCATTGTTGTACCCATTAATGGTGAGCACCAGGCAGGCACCAACAAATACCATATTTTAACGTCTTTTGGAATGACGCAGCTGGGGATCAAACCCTTCCACTCTCCGGGCAGATGCTCTAACCACTACACAACGAAGATGGTTCAGTGAAATGAAATTGTATGGGGTAGCACATGGGGAAATAATGGCTCAAAAATGGAGTTTTCGTAATGTTCTCATACAAATTCCAAAGTCATTGGAATGGACAAATTCAAAATTAGAAATTGAGAACTGGATTTGACATTTGCTGCAGATCTTGGGAGAAATATCAACCTGGACCAGATCTAGATGATTCCTGAGTTCACTCATAATTTCACCATGTTCACTCACATACAATACATATTGCTGGACAGCAAACAAAAACTTCACCATATCGAATGTACTTACAAATACTTGATGCTCCTGTTGATGGCCGGAGATCTTTACACCTCATCTGTATTTCTCTCAGTTTTACCAAGTCGTTCCTCTCAAGAGCATCATAGTATTCTGCTTGTGAGTTCAGATTGGGCAGATCTGGGTAGAAGTCTCTGGTGATTATCTCCTCAATACCCTACAAGACACAAAGGAACATAAATATAGCTCTGTAACTAACCATCCTCACCGACTGAAGTGTTCCTTCTCTCATAGGCTCATTTAATGCACTAGGCTTAAACACAAATTCAATAGAGTTCTGTATTGTATATCAGATAATGAGATGTAGAAGTAATATGGTTCAGAAAACATGGTAAATGTCTTGCATAAGAAACCTGAGTTTGATTTGATGCATGGTAAGATATGTGTATTAGTCCAGATTACTTGAGCAATCTAAGGTGAAGAGTATAAACACAGCTAATCCCATTAACAGCTTGGAAAGGATACATGAGTCTAAATACCCTAGGGGTGATAAACATGGCAAACAGGTGTTGGCAAGAATGAAGTTTAGCTGTTTACAGTTACATACATCGCAGAAATACATTGACTTCAGATTTTGGTAAGAGTTCCGCCCGTAACCCCCGCTTCAAATGTAGTCTATTTATTAGGGTTATTTCGAGGGTTTAGGGTTAGGTTTGTGGTTAGATTTAGGGTTAGGTATAGGCTGTTTATAAAAAAAACATAGGCGTATATTCTTTGGCATATAATGATTAACAAAAATACGGGGGTTACGGGTGGAAATCTTTCCCTGATCTTTTCAAACCATGTCATCTTTTCAGACTAGGCTTGGTGTTGTGTAAGAGTACAAGGGGTTCAATCATTTTGCTGTGGTGGTGAGCGAAATCAGGGGCAGTATGAGTATTTACCTGCGTGTATGTGTCTTCGTCTAACACTGTTTTCTTCTTTTCATTTCCCGTATCACTTTTCTTGTTCTTGTCTACTGTGACCAAGGCCATAGAGGCAAGCGTCTGTAACGCCATTGCCCTTATTCAGACTTATTTCACTGAAAAGTACGATGTTTTATCTCTTGTCAAATTTCGACGACGAAGAAACGACGCCGGAAGTTGTAACATAAGTGAAAGAAGTTTCTTAACGACAACATTTTAACTGCGCATTTGTCAAAACTCTATAATCAACACAAGTACAGAATTATTAATCGATTAGTACATGAATGTGCACTAATCTCTGCTGGACAAATGTAACGGGATGGCTAGCATTTTTGCGACATACTGTTTCAACACGAGTTGTCTCCCTTTGTTGATGTCCTCGCTTTGAACAATACAAGTCGTCTGTCTATCTTGTACATATTTATGCTATTTGGCTTACATGTTTAAAATACATGCAAAGACAGTACATCCGGTAACATGGATGAAATACGAGCTTAACCTGTGTCTGTAACCAAACAAATGAGTTGTGTTTATTATTTGGGGTGGCGAGTCGCTTTTGGGGAGAAGCGTTTTTCATTGCCATTCCTGCTAAAGTCACTTTGGGTAGGTGGACGAAGAAATATACCTCGCGTTTTGAATGATTTGCATGGTGAAACAATATATGATCGCTTGATGGGATTTTAATCCTCTATTCTTCCACACCTAATCCAGCTACATCACTGGGGGCTATAGGTTATATGTATGCAGGGGTGGATCCATACAACTTTTTGAGAAAGGGGGGAGGTGGGGTGGAAGCAATACAGCCTATATATGGCATTAACGTGTATATACTCAGGGACAATCTACAGCACGCCGTGTATTCTCCCTGATATACTGGAAGCAATACAGTCTATATATGGCATTAACGTGTATATACTCAGGGACAATCTACAGCACACCTTGTATTCTCCCTGATATACTGGAAGCAATACAGCCTATATATGAGTGAGTGAGTTTAGGTTTACACCGCACTCAGCAATATTCCAGCTATATGGCGGCGGTCTGTAAATAATCGAGTCTGGACCAGACAATCCAGTGATCAACAGAATGAACATTGATCTGCACAATTGGGAACCAATGACGTGTCAACCAAGTCAGCGAGCCTGACCACCCGATCCCGTTAGTCGCCTCTTACGACAAGCATGGGTTACTGAAGATAAATATTCTACGAGTGTCCGTTTTGTGAAGCCAATTACCTGTTCAAATCAAGGAGGCAGAGTCACTTGACATTTTTAAGAGCGACATCAAACCTATCTCTTTAGGACTTTCTATAACTTGTGAGCACCCATGAAAATACCCGCCTATGACTTCTTGCAGTGACTTCGGGCGGTGGGGTAGTCTAGTGGTTAAAGCGTTGGCTCGTCACGCCGAAGACCCGGGTTCGAATCCCCACAGGGGTACAATGAGTGAAGCCCATTTCTGGTGTCCCCCGCCGTGATATTGCTGGAATATTGCTAAAAGCGGCGTAAAACCAAACTCAGTCAGTCAGTCTTGCAGTGACTTCAAATTGTTTGCAGCGCCGCGAGCAAGCACTCTGTGCCTGGAGTTGGAATTTATTATTTCAGTATTTTTCATTGTCCTACAACAGCATGGGTGACTTTCCATCGATATCACCGCTACCACTCTCATAGGTTCATGTTAAAATATGGTTGCTCTGATCGTATTAACCCTGCCATGGCTTTGTGCAAGTACTAGTGTTGTAGTCGTAGCTCATGGAACTGAGGATCTGTTGCTCAGCATCTGTGACTTGGCTGATTGCGTGTCACCCCGACACCTTGAATTTCATGTTTGTTCATCCTGAGGATAAAAATAATTGAAGTTTTGCTAAAGGCTGGATCGTGGCGGTGGTGTAGCCCACAGGCCCTCGTGTCTTTGCGAGGATTACAGATTAATAAAAACAACATAGAAATTTGAGATGACCCCCGACTCGAAAAAAATACTTCACAGTACAATACATCATGATGTATTATTGTATTGTGAAGTATTTCGGGTTGGAGGTCATCTCAAGTTTTGTTTCTATCTGTAATCCTCGAAAAGACACGAGGGCCTGTGGTGTAGCCTTGTGGTTAAAACATTTACTCGGGTCCCTACTTGGTGTAATGTGTGGCGTCCATTTCTGGTGTCCCCCTCCGTTATAGTGCTGGAATATTGCTGAAAACGGAGTAAAACTAAACTCACTCACTCACCTTGACAGCACGGGTTTGGTTGAGGTTTGGATGACTGCGGGTTAGTATCAACGTGTTAAACAAAAGTCGTATTTTAGTGGAGTGGAGTTTAGTTGGAAAGAACAATTCTACACCCACATTGACTTACTTGTCATGGATTGAACGTGTAAGGGCGAAACCCCTGTGTCCAAACCTCTTTGGGTAACTTTTTCCATGTTTCATTTCAACAGTCATTCATTTTTCCAGTTTCATTACGCCATCCAATCACACCGGCCCAAACAATGTTATTGAACTGTTAATTGCATTATTACGGAAGCGCTGAAGGGACCTCATGAAATAAAAATTATCTTGAGCGCACAAGTTAATATCTTGAGCGCACAAGTTAGTTATCTTGAGCGCACAAGTTAGTATCTTGAGCGCACAAGTTAATATCTTGAGCACACAAGTTACTATATTGAGCACTCAAGTTGATATCTTGAGCGCACAAGTTACTTATCTTGAGCGCTCAAGTTAGTTATCTTGAGCGCACAAGTTAACATCTTGAGCGCACAAGTTAGTTTCTTGAGCGCACAAGTTAGTCTCTTGTGCGCACAAGTTAATATCTTGAGCGCTCAACTTCGTGTTTAGCATCTAATGGCATTAATGGAACGCACATTTGCTTGACTGCTGGCTAAAATGTACAAACTTATATCCTTTTTGGAAGATTTCAAACGATGCAAAGTCAGAGTTAACTATAGGTGTTTATGATGAGACTATGTAAAAGTATGCAAATGTATCGTGAACATTGATAATGTTTATCATGTAAACGTTCATCGTCTTTATGCTTGTCAATACTATTCTTTGTATCTGATTTTACCACTTTTTGCTTTATTACATAAAGCAGGCCTAGGTATGTGTAATGTCATAATAAGAATTAAAACATAAACATGAGTAGGAGTTTATTGCAGGAATGAATAGTGGTTTTACTTACTTCTTATATTGGTACATAGTATTATGAACACTTGGATAACTTGTTTTTTTGCTACGGCTTTATTATGTATATATAGTATTACATGACCATGAAAAATGTAAACATCGAGTGTCATACTTAATTATCTTAATTATAAAACTAATGTCTGATGTATTGGAAGTAAAGTCGACCACTTTCAGGGACTATAGTCTGTATGCATGTATCAGTACTGTGTCCTAACGTGGGTACAATGGCAGTTTAACTCTGTACAATATCATATAAAACCCGCCTGATTTATTTGATACATTAGTATGTGCACGTATAGCATATATACCGACTTTATTTCTTACTAAAATACCGTGTTCCCCGTTTCACTTCTTCCGTATCAATCCCTTATGTATACGTATGTGTGTTGTAGTTTATTTAACATGTTTTAACAACACAGGAAGTTGAAGAATAAAGACGTCGATGAAGACAGTGTCCTGAGCGAAATTGAACACCATTCGGGTCCAACACCGACCGTACAGTATCCTGTTTCACGATTAAACCGCATAGGGTACATTTTTGATGCATCAACGATAACCATGTCTTTGTTCAGATCGTCGAAGTTGTCCGCAATAAAGTATGTAACATCAGCGGGGCGGTGGGGTAGCCTCGTGGTTAAAGCGTCCGCTCGTCACGCCTGGGTTCGATTCCCCATATGGGTACAATGTGTGCAGTCCATTTCTCGTGTTCCCCAACGTGATATTGCTGGAATATTGCTAAAAGCGGTGTAAACCGTACTCACTCACTCACTCACATCTTCTTGTCAAAAATCATTGTATAGTATAGTACGCCATTCGAAGAGCATTCTGAGGTGTATGTCCCTCTTTCGTACAAGATACGAGATTTGCTGATGTTACAGTGAGTGAGTGAGTACGGTTAACACCGCTTTTAGCAATATTCCAGCAATATCACGTTGGGGAACACGAGAAATGGACTGCACACATTGTACCCATATGGGGAATCGAACCCAGGCGTGACGAGCGGACGCTTTAACCACGAGGCTACCCCACCGCCCCGCTGATGTTACATACTTAAATGCGGACAACTTCGACGATCTGAACAAAGACATGGTTATCGTTGATGCATCAAAAATGTACCCAATGCGGTTTAATCGTGAAACAGGATACTGTACGGTCGTTGTTGGACCCGAATGGTGTTCAATTTCGCTCAGGACACTGTCTTCATCGACGTCTTTATTCTTCAACTTCCTGTGTTGTTAAAACATGTTAAATAAACTACAACACACATACGTATACATAAGGGATTGATACGGAAGAAGTGAAACGGGGAACACGGTACTTTAGTAAGAAATAAAGTCGGTATATATGCTATACGTGCACATACTAATGGATCAAATAAATCAGGCGGGTTTTATATGATATTGTACAGAGTTAAACTGCCATTGTACCCACGTTAGGAAACATTACTGATACATGCAAACCAAGACTACAGACTATAGTTCCCTGAAAGTGGTCGACTTCACTTCCAATACATCAGACATTAGTTTTATAATTAAGATAATTAAGTATAACACTCAATGTTTACATTTTTCATGGTCATGTAATACTATATATACATAATAAAGCCGTAGCAAAAAACAAGTTATCCAAGCTTTACGCTAGTGTTCACAATACTATGTACCAATATAAGAAGTAAGTAAAACCACTATTCATTCCTGCAATAAACTCCTACTCATGTTTATGTTTTAATTCTTATTATGACATTACACATACCTAGGCCTGCTTTATGTAATAAAGCAAAAAGTGGTAAAATCAGATACAAAGAATAGTATTGACAAGCATAAAGACGATGAACGTTTACATGATAAACATTATCAATGTTCACGATACATTTGCATACTTTTACATAGTCTCATCATAAACACCTATATGTAGTTAACTCTGACTTTGCATCGTTTGAAATCTTCCAAAAAGGATATAAGTTTGTACATTTTACCCATCAGACAAGCAAATGTGCGTTCCATTAATGCCATTAGATGCTAAACACGAAGTTGAGCGCTCAAGATATTAACTTGTGCGCTCAAGATATTAACTTGTGCGCTCAAGATAATTTTTAGTTCATGAGGTCCCTTCAGCGCTTCCGTAGTATTGGAACCCAAGACTGAAATAAGCATGAATCAGATCGCGTTTCCACTCCTCCTTGCTTCCACATGAACTGCTTATGAAGCAGTGTATCTCAATAATCTAAGATGAGCGCTCAAGATACTAACGTGTGCGCTCAAGATACTAACTTGTGCGCTCAAGATACTAACTTGTGCGCTCAATATATTAACTTGTGCACTCAAGATATCTAACTTGTGCGCTCAAGATATTAACTTGTGCGCTCAAGATACTAACTTGTGCGCTCAATATAGTAACTTGTGCGCTCAAGATACTAACTTATGCGCTCAAGATAAATTATATTTCATGAGGTCCCTTCAGCGCTTCCGTACATTATCAACATACCAGGCAGTACTCCTTTGTTTGAGGGGCTGTGGGGTAGCCTAGTGGTTAAGGCGTTCGCTCGTCACGCCGAAGACCCGGTTACGATTCCCTACATGGGTACAATGTGTGAAGCCCATTTCTGGTGTCCCCCGCCGTGATATTGCTGGAATATTGCTAAAAGCGGCACAAAACTAAACTCACTCACTCACTCCTGTGTCTGACATCCGGCAACTGAGGTTTACCGTTAATAACGACGCTGAGAGTACGAGTAGCAACATGGCAAGGAAATGGCTCAAGTTGTTTATATACTTCAGTGTTTATTTGGCACATAAGATGATTGGTACAATAAATAGACATAAATATCGATGAGAGTGGCGTCAGTTCGATCCTCAATAGAAGCCATAGCCTGAAAGACAAAATACAAATCATGAATACACCATGAACACAGGACGACATGGACAACGATGGAAGCACGACACTTATACTTATCATACAAGTGGTATGAAACAAATTTACAATGCTGATTTTTTAAAGTTTCTGTAGTTTATAATGATTCTTTCAAAGTATATTTTATATGTGTTTAAAACCAGTGCAACATGCTTTTTGGACACGACCTCATTAATTTCTCAATAAAACTTATAACAACTATATATTTTCAGAATAGTTTTAATTCATAATATACTTGTTGTGTAGCCTGGTGTTATAACTCATAGAAATAAAGTTTATATAATAGCAGCAATACAGCCTATGACATTGACGTGTCATACTATTTTATAGCTGACCGATGATACTCTAAAATATTTGAAAAAAAGATAAAGTCTTTAAAACTGCGGTGTTGCCCAGGATTACTAAGGCGGCCGGTAAACCGTTATTTAGAGACGTACCTTTTCCAAGTCCAAGTCCAAGGCCGGTTCCAAATCCTCCGTAGTGGCCTCCCATGCCGTACAGACCGCCGATGTTGCCAAGTCCTCCATACAGACCGCCAATATTGCCAAGTCCTCCGTAAAGACCGCCAAAGTTGCCAAGTCCTCCGTACAGACCTCCCATCAATCCGTACTTCCCGCCATAGATACCTCCGTATTGTCCCAGGCCGCCGTACAGTCCTCCCACCATTCCGTTACCGTAAGCACCACCGTACGGATAGCCGATGGCGCCTTTGCCGTACATGCCGTAGCTCACAGGCTCGGCGAGGGCGGCGACAGCCAGACAGAGAACGAGGGCGATAACTTTCATCATCTTTTATGATCTGTTAATGAAAATATGAAAAAAAGAGTCACGTGTAATTCGACATTTATAGCTATCATCAGTAAAAGACCCATTTTATCCAAACTGGGTCACAACTAATAGTGGCATATTGAGGACCGTATTAAAAATGTTCCCTGGATAATCAAGAACGGGACTTGCTTCGTCCTGTACGAACATGCCTTGCACGAATCCCACGTGCACTGCACGGAAATCGTGACCGATATTTACAGTGTTTTCTTCACGTTAACTCACGGGGTTATCGAGGAAGCTGTCAATCACGATGTCGATTTCTTCCGCTTTAGCGTCAGCAGGACTGACTGACTGACTGACTGAGTTTGGTTTTACGCCGCTTTCAGCAATATTCCATCAACATCACGGCAGGGGACACCAGAAATGGTGTCAGCAGGAACGTATGTACATTTACGTCTGAGTTTTAATATAAAATATACAGATAAATTAATATTGAATTCCTAGATTAAATAATTCCAGTTAAAACCTAACCATACACTTCGTAGTGATTAATTCTCTCAGTGATAATAATTACAAAATATGAACAGAAAATTTGCTGATTAGCATTTAAAACTTACATGTGATCACGTTGACTTGCACAACCGAAGAATGTGAGAGCGATATCGATTTCGGATCGATCGGTCTTACTTATATCCCCGCATGATGACGTCATCACCTAATCACGCCTTCTCGCTGCCCGTCCCAAAATACCCGCCGGCCAGAGGTCTTGTATGACGTAAAATTCCTGTGTGTGACGAGTAGAACGTGCACTTCCTGTTTTGGTCATGTTTGATTATAATTTATGCACGGCAGCTTAAAATATTTGTCTGATTTCATAGTTATTAAACGTTTTGATAACATAATACCTATTTTTCTAATAATTGTTCAAATTTACAATCATGAATATTTTTTTTAGATTCAGTAAGAGATACGATAGCATAATAACAATAAATCACAAAACTGAGCCCAAGCACTGTTTGTTCTGATAAGTAATACATAACTATGCAAAGCTTTTAGTAATTTACGGAAAGTTTAATATTAAGTTCATCATTCACATTCGGTGGGGTAGCTTTGTGGTTAAAGCGTTCGCTCGTATCGCCAAAGACCCAGGTTCGATTTCCCACATGGGTGCAATGTGTGAAGCCCATTTCTGGTGTCCCCCGCCGTGATATTGCTGGAGTGAATGAGTGAGTTTAGTTTGCACTCAGCAATATTCCAGCTATATGGCGGTGGTCTGTAAATAATCGAGTCTGGACCAGACAATCCAGTGATCAACAGCATGAGCATCGATCTACTTAATTGGAAACCGATGACATGTGTCAACCAAGTCAGCGAGCCTGACAACCCGATCCTGTTAGTCGCCTCTTACGACAAGCAAGGGTTACTGAAGGCACATTCTAACCCGCACCTTCACGGGTTGATTGCTGGAATATTGCTAGGAGCGGCGTCAAGCAATTTTTACTCACTCACTCATCATTCACACACTTGAAGTCGTGATTTTCCTTGTTTATTTAATTTCTTTAATTGAAATTTTTAAATAAAACAATGCATTGACACGACACTGAGGAAAATTACCTTTGATATAAAAAGTTGTTTGATCAGATGTGTTTATACGTCGGAGTAAACAAGGAAACGTCTGCAGTGAAACGATGTAATTTGCATCACACTGGTCATCATACCTCCATCATCAGCATGAAGTCACGTTTATTTAATTGACATTGGCGTATCATCAGAAACATTTAAATAAACCAGTCGACTACAGGCAGTCCTGAAGTAAACGTACACATACTTCGTTATGAGTAGTGATGGGCTAATTAATTGAAATAATCGAAGATTGGTCGCTATGACGACCAAGCAGTCGATCATGTTTTCTCATAATCGAACTCAAACAGTTTGGAACACTTGTTTGCATTAACAATATTTATCACAAGGTTGGTTTTGTATGTTAGATTTCATAAGCACCACATGTCATGATTGAATTTATCTTGAAGACTCCAGGAAATTTATGTTCCTAACATAACAGTCATCCTTAAAGATGTGAAACTTGCAGTTGCATTTTGTGCAATTTGCAAAAAAACAACAACCCGAAAGAACTGCATTTTTTGTGTGCATTAACGAACATAACCAGGGAAAATTGATAAATGACGCTAACCAATTATGTTCGATGATAGATCGGTTGTAATGAACCAATCATCAAATATTTTAACCAATTCCCAACACTACAATGGGTACAATTTACAATCCACGTGAACAGTAACATAAGATATCATTGCTTTTGAACCATTTAAACGTCAAAGGAGGTTGAAGACACCGCTTTGATGAAACCCGGAGAGAACAGAAGAACGGTTCCCTATCAGTCGACCTGTCTCACCGTCCCTGAACCGCGTTTCTCACCTTCTGTCTCGCCCCTTCACAATGTCAAAGCCGTAAATGAAGCAAGTTAGATTTCCACAGGTTCTGAATCTCTATTCTCACCGGGGCTCCTGTCCAATTTAAAAGTAATTGTTAGTTTCTATCAAAATGATATTTATTCAGAGACTAAGCGGTTGTTTGCCTTATCAGGTGTAATGTCCAATTTGAACCCGCGAGCATATGTTCCTGGTACGTCCAAAGGACGAAACTCTGCATAGCGAAGTGCTCAGACAAAATATCATTGAGAGTCTGCGTCTTACAGCATGGGGATTAACAGTTCCATAGTGCCCAGCCGCCACATAGCTGGAATATTGCTGAGCGCGGCATAAAACTTAATTCACTCACTCACTCCATTTTGCCCAGTTCCGAACCAAACCACATGCGAGTCTTGTGTACTTGGAAATGTATATTTAATATATACTCCAAACATGACTATGAGATACAGACAATTCGCACCCGGTCTTTTCTGTTAATATATAGCTTGTTGTAGGCTCCTCATGGTTTTTTTTCCATTCGACATCTTAGATTTGAATTATAATATTATATCATAATATATAATTATATGTTATATTTCACACTCCCTCATCTCTTTTTTTTTTTAAAAGGGGGCGGTGGGGGAGCCTAGTGGTTACAGCGTTTGGCCGTTTCGGTCGTCACGCTGAAGACGTTCGATTCTAGACATGGATGCAATGTGTGAACATCATTTCTGGTGTCTCCCGCCGTGATATTGCTGGTATATTGCTAAAAGCGGCGTAAAACTAAACTCGTTCACACTTTTTCCTTATATATATAATTAGTTGGGTTTTTAAAAAATTCTGCACATGTGTACGTTGGGAGTGTACAGTGCAATTATTACTGTAACATAACGAAACGTTTGCTCGTCACGCTGAAGGTATGGGTTGGAGTACCCTATGCTTTGAGCCCATTTCTTATGTACCCCGTCGTGACAATGAAGCTGGGATGCTGCTTAAAGCGACACAATCACTAACTTACACAAAAACACACCGATGTATATTCAGTAGAAGTAGGAATGTTACGATTTTATAATTTTACAAATCAGTGAATGAGTGAGTTTAGTTTTATGCCGCTTTAAGCAATATTCCAGCAACAATACGGCGAGGGACACCAGAAATGGGAATCGAACCCGGGTCTTCGGCGTGACGAGCGAACGCTTTAACCATTAAGCTACCCCACCGTCCTCACAAATCAGCATTATTTCTTGTAGAACTTTGGGTCCCTATCAATTTAAGGAAATGTCTGAAAAAGGGTAAGTTCTGGCAGTGCTTGGGTTTGCCAAAATGTACTGGAGTATGAGTGAGTGAGTGAGTTTAGTTTTATGCCACACTCAGCAATATTCCAGCTATATGGCGGCGGTCTGTAAAAATCGAGTCTGGACCAGACAACCCAGACATCAACATCATGAGCATCGATCTACGTAATTGGGAATCGATGACATGTGTCAACCAATTCCAGCGAGCCTGACCACCCGATCCCGTTAGTCGCCTATTACAACAAGCATGGGTTACTGAAGACCAATTCTAACCTGGGTTTCATTCCATCTTATCCCCCACGCTTAGTTTGGTTTAGTGGATGATACCTATGATGGATGTATTATATTTCTGATCGAACCGAACAGTTATTTGTGATCTAACCCAAATTAATAAGGATTATTAAAAAGGCGAAGAGACCACTTACTCGCTTGGTTATTCATTTTGTTAATTCATCTGCTGTCCTGATGCTGTTATTTCACAATCTCACGTTTGATCTCACGAAACATTTTGAAATCCTTAATGTTTGTATTCAGCGTGTATACCCTGTTTACAAGAGTTTCGGAATATTTAAACTGCTTCGCTGAGGATAACCAACTTAGTGGTGAAAGCGTCCGTACGTCACGCCGAAGACCCGGGTTTTATTCCTCACATATGTCCGTTTTGTGAAGCCAATTACCTGTTCAAATCAAGGAGGCAGAGACACTTGATATTTTTAAGAGCGACATCAAAACCTCTCTTTTTAGGACTTTCTATAACTTGTGAGCATCCATGAAAATATCCGCCTATGACTTCTTGCAGTGACTTCAAATTGTATGCAGCGCCGCGAGCAAGCACTCTGTGCCTGGAGTTGGAGTTTATCATTTCTGTATTTTTCATTGTCCTACAACAGTATGGGTGACTTTTAATCGATATCACCGCTACCACTCTCATAGGTCGATGTTAAAGTATGGTTGCTCTGATCGTATTAACCCTGCCATGGCTTTGTGCAAATATTAGTGTTGTATTCGTAGCTCATGGAACTGAGGATCTTTGGCTCAGCATCTGTGACTTGGCTGACTGTGTGTCACCCTGACACCTTGAATTTCATTTTTGTTCAACCCGAGGATCAATATAATTGAAGTCTTGCTAAAGGCTAGATCGTAGCGGTGGTGTAGCCCACATGCCCTCGTGTCTTTGCGAGGATTACAGATTAAAAAAACAAACATAGAATTTGAGATGACCCCCGACGCGACAGAAATACTTCACAGTACAATACATCATGATGTCTTGTATTGTGAAGTATTTCGGGTCGGGGGTCATCTCAATTTTTGTTTTTATCTGTAATCCAACGCGAAGTGAGTGAGTGAGTTAATATTTAACGTCACATCGGCTATATCTCGTCCATATCGTGACGAAATCCTCGCAACGACACGAGGGCCTGTGGTATTGCTGAAAACGGAGTAAAACTAAACTCACTCACTCACCTTGACCGGACGGGTTTGGTTGAGGTTTGGTTG